ATCCTATGTCTTTCTTATCATATCACACATTTTTGAGTGCTATATGCTGCTTTCTTTTGGTGTCAGATTAATCAGTATTTATTTCCTTTAACTTTGCTCTCAACATCACAGCCAATTCTTAGGAAAACATATATGCTATCCAAAGGTTATTATTTACACAGATTGTGGTAATATCTTGTCCAGGCTTTTGGCCAGGATGAAGTTGATTTTTCTTGCAGAACCTTTGAGGGGGTGGAGCCTGAAGCTATGTGGGCTTTTCTGGGTTGTTGTCCTATACAACCTCACCTCACTACTCAGGGGTGGAAGTAAAGGATTCTTCTTCCAAGAAGAAGGTGGGGGTAGCTCACATTTGGAGAAGAAAGTGTGAAGCACAGAGGGTCTATCCACCACTACTTTTCAGTGATCTGGGCTTGTGAGCATTTTTGGTTGTAAAGATAAAAATGCTCCTCTTTTTACACACTTTTTTGCCAATATTGTTGCAGCTACTGTTTGTTTTTCTTTTCTCATTGTTGTTTCCAGGAAATTGTTATTATCTCAACCTGTGATCTCTGCCTTTGAAGTCTCCCACCAGAGACTTGGTTGTGGTTTGAAGTGCTGTTCCTAAACAAGGACAGCCCTCATTTGAGCTGACTGTGGGGCTCAGTTGGTTCTGGCATACTGCACACTCCTCCTGGTGAAATCACAACACATCTAAAAATGGGTCAGATACTATCTAAATGCAGAAGATGCAATCTGCTCTCAAGAGGCAGCAAGCAATTGTAGCCCAGTAAATTATTTTTGCCATGACTAGCAAAAAGTTGCCGTCCTTTTGTTGACCTGGTCTTAGAGCTCATCTAGGTTTGCTGTGGCTGCAGCTGGGCTCAGTCTGGTTTGACAACTGCTGAAAGGGGTAGTACCTGGGGGAGGCCTTTGTGCCACACTTTGGCTTTAGAGGAGAGCCTCTGAGAAGGGGGCTATGAGGAGAAAAAAAAAAAAAAGAAAAAAAAAAAGAAAAGGGTAAAGGTGGCCTCGGTGGAAGATGAAGGAGAAAAATTCCTTGTCATGATTTTCAAATTGCTTCCAGCAAAGATCTCAGGTGCTTATTGCTATACCCTCTTATTCTCCCCTGCTTTCTCTAGGAATACTGAAACCATCAGCCTTGGGATGGAAAGGGATACAAGAAGGGTGAGCTCCACACCACAAAAATAAACACTAGGAAAGGTGGGGTTTTGTTGGTTTTGTTTGTTTGTGGTTTTGTGGCTTTTTGTTTGTATGAGGTTTTGTTTTGTTTTGCTTTTTTCACTTTAAATGGTATTATTATAATTTTCTGTTTTATTTAAATAAGCCATGTTGTTAAATCTGCTAAAACAGATGTTCTCATTGCACACTCACATTTTAGCTATGTATGTTTTTTTGCTCCCTTTTGCACACAGCAAGATTTTGAGCCTAAAAAAGAAAAGCAGATTCAAATATACAATAGAACAAAATACTGATTTTCATTCCTTCATAATTGGAAAATAATTCCTAAATTTAGTCAAATAGATCTTTGAAGAGGAGAAAGTAGACAAAGATTCCTCAGTAGGACTTAAGAACTGAACATTGTCGTGGAATATCTGTAGGCTGGGCCTTTATTTGGCCTTTCAGCAGATACCAGCTGTACCTCAGTTTTCTGGGCATGTGATTGTAACACATATGTAATGCTTCAGTTCTCAGCCTTTTAGGTAAAATCCAGCATAATTTTTTTTTATAAAGATATGAATAATAGTCAGCCTTGTAATGGGGATGAAGTAAATGCATGCTATTCTGTTTTGCTGGTGTTTTTTCCAGTTCAATAAAAATTTTTCCATTGAATATCAATGGTAGAGAAATTGAATAGCTATGGTAGAGAAAAAAAACTTATAGGTAAAAATTAAAATATAAAAAGGAATAAATAATGAAGGCATTACTAAGAATGCAGTATTTGTAAAGTATCATCTTGCACATTCCCAAAATTTGAAGGCAATCTTGATTTTGTGTACGGTACTTTAATGTGTTTAAAGGCAAATACTTGCAGACTGTGCTGACAAGCTGGGAAATTTTAGCCTGGCAAACAACAACTTTGAAATGAATTTCAATGTTCACAGTCGATAATGAGCTAAATGTGAGTTCCCAAAGGAGAGAGTTAGAAGTATAAAGAGGAAAATCTTGTTTAAATTTAGGGGGCAATATGATCTTACTATAGGTGCAAACACCCATGTGGAATGCAGTGCTCTTGGTTGTAGTTGAAATTGGAGAAAGTTTGTAGAAAATACAGGAGAATGATTAAAAGATTTGGAAACAGGCCCCCTTGGGGGTTTTAATCTGTTTATCAAAGACATAAAAGAGATAAATTTAAGCAGGATGGTGTACATGCTTGCATGTGTGGGTGAATGACTGTCGTGCATCCTGGAAGTATCTCCTGGCAAACAAAACTTTGATCAAGGGTTCTCTAATATAGTAGACAAAAGTGTAACAAAATTCAATGGCTGGAAGATTAAGCAAGACAAATTTAGAGTGATAGAATAAGGCTCCAATGTCTAACACTGAAGATAATTAACTAGTGAGTACTGTGGTGAAATTGTGGTTGGTTTTCTGTGGAAATTTTAATTATGACTCAGCATAATTTTCTCACCACACTCTTTTAATTCTGTGGGAATTTCTTCTAGTAAATCCTATAACCTTTCTTATTTGACAGGTCAGCTTAGATGATGATAATAATATTTCTTTTCTGGTTTTGCCATCTGTGTTGAATAATCTTTTATCTCATGTTCTCATTTTTTTATATATAAATATTTTATTTCAGCCTTTGTCTTCTAAACTTCCTGTACCTGGACAAAACCCCTACTTTCCCTCTGTGGCCTTCACTCTCTTCTCTTAGTCCCTTCACGTTGCAGACCCCTGTTGCCATAAGCATTTTGATTCTTTGGCTAACTACCTGACTGAAAGCAAGTCAGTAGATTCAAACTGTAAGAGGTCAATAATTGCATATCTATATATTAGGGACCTGAGTATTGTATTTGCATGGACCCTCGTGGCAGGAAGGAATGATGAATCTGACTCCATGTTCTCAGAAGACTAATTTATTATTTTATGATACTATATTATATTAAAGACTACTATACTATACTATACTATACTACACTATACTACACTATACTATACTAAAGAATACAGAAAGGATACTTACTGAATGCTAAAAAGATAATAATGAAAACTCGTGACTTTTTCCAGAGTCTCAACACAGCTTGGTGCTGATTGGCCAAAGAGCCAAAACAACTCACACCAGAAGCCAGTGAAACAATCACCTGTGGGTAAACAATCTCCAAACACATTCCACATGAGCAAAACAGAGGAGAAGCAAATGAGATAATTTTCTCTCTGCGGCTTCTCAGCTTCCCAGGAGAAAAATCCTGGGCGAAGGGATTTTTCAGAAAATGTGAATGCAACACCTGAGAGTAGGCTAGAAGTAATTAGAAAAAATATTTCCATGTGTAAAGCTTTTATGACTTCGGTTTTACGAATTCCCATGTTATTTTTCAAGGGATCTGTCTCTGGAACCTCTGTCTCCAGTGGTGCCCATTGAGACAAAAAAATGTCATGAATTAGTTTTTTAATTTTTTTTTTAATTTTTTTTTTTTAATTTAGAACCCTTAGAATGGTCCTGTTTTAAAAAGAAAGTAAGCCTTTACTACAGCAGAAATGCTGCTCTGATATAAGTTTTCTGAACAGTAAGTGGATGAAGATCTAAATTAGGTTTTCACTGTGTCAGGTGCAATAGTAGCAACCAAACAAAAGCATTGCATAGCCTTAGGTCTGACAGTCTGTTAAGTGAATTTGTATGCACACAAGAAGAAGTGTCTTTTTGAAACATGAAGATGCCCAAGAGAGAGACTCTGGAAAGGTTTTACAGCCATTTAATAGTTCAAGACATTATTTGTTCAATAACAGAAGAAAAAGGCTTAGAGAGCAATCAGATTTTCATGGACAAAAGCTAGGCTCTTGTCCTGAGGGGAGAAAGGATCATAGGCAGTGATTTTTGTGTGTGTCAGGAAGAGATGCAAAAAAAGGGTTTGACAGCTGGAGAAGCAAGAGAAGAGCTACTCATTCTATCTCATCTATTTTGTATGCTTTTATACTCCATTTTATCTGAATGTGATTTCTAGCTCTTTCCTCCTCTCTCTAATGAATGTTTCATTCTCTTTTTACACTGCTCTTACTACAAAAAAACTATTCTTCTTCATGTTCCCACTCAGTTCTTTTTCCTGTCCTACATCACTCTCAATATTGAACCACAACAGCTCCCTAATTTTCTAATAAGGATGCAAGTGCATTCTCATTTTGGTCACTTTTGTGTCCACATGACTGCTGTAGTATCCCCTGTAGACCATGTATTTTAGCAGCTGTGCAGAACCTAGTGAAAGCTGATTACAATCATGAATATCCACTCCTCTGCCCTGAAGGAAATGGTACTTGTCAGCAAATAAAACTAGCTAAGTGTTCCCCTAGTAGCGTAAACACTGCCTCAGATTCCCAAAGGACTTAAAATATACTTGGTTCTCCAATTTGGTTTTCTCATGTTTTTGTTTTGTTTCTACTCTTCCAAAGTGCACTAAGAAATCTACCTGAAGACGTGCCCAAGTGGTAATTTTCTGGCCAGAGCTGGTTGCGCACTGGGAAAATATCTCAAAAAGACATCCCCAAGAATTATAACAGTGCCAGTACAAGGGGACAGCTACTAATCTCCAAGCTATCTTGCAGTTTAACTATTTCTTCCACCTTAGTGTACTCCTGTTTTTGAAGGAAATTGAAGGTACAAGATGACGAAATGCTACTAGTTTCGAATGAGACAAGGCAACCTTCTTTATCTATTCAGCCACAAGGTTGCAATAAGGGCTAAAAATGTAATTTATTTACTTTTGTCCCCTATGAGTATGAAAAACCTCCCTTAACCCTAAGCATAACAGTGAACCTCCCCTGAAAAGAAAATATATAGAAATACTTACTTTATGGTTTTAGTAGCTTAGTCCGTTCAGGAGCTGGCTTAAACCAAATGGTTGAATTGAATCTAAGCTGCTGCCCTGGGGTTGTTGTATAACAGCAAAATCTTCTGAGTATAAACAAATGATATTTTTGCATGTGGGAGGATGATGGAAAGAAAAGCATAGTTTACTTTTGACTGGGACTGGGACTATACTTGTGGCATAATGTTTTGTTGGCCTGGCAAAAAATTCTGAGCATCGGCCTCTTAAGTGTCACAGAGTTTTTGTAGGAAAGATTTTTATTAGGAAATGTCAAAGCAAATATCTAGGCATGGAATGGCTCAAAGCTGCCTGTCATATATATAATATTGATGGATTCTTGGCTGTGTCTTTTGTTAAGTAAATGAGAATACTGGCTTCATGAATTCTGGTTACATGTCTAAATGCAAGAGCTGCCCACGCAAAACCTGTGTTGGAACTTTATAAGCTGACATGGTCGATAGAAGTGAGAAGTTCTGATTCAAAATAAAGAATCAGGACATCTGCTTCAAGTTTCATGCTTTTGGGGGAAAATGATGGAGGGGGAACACATTACTTTAATGTCACAAATTCTGATCAATTTATTTTAAACTTTACTTTGATGATAAAGATACAAAGTGAAGATACTAAAGTATTTGCCACTTTTCCCAAATGCAAGTATAGATATATCTTAACCCTTTCTTTCAAACTTTAATCAGTATGATTCAGGCATACAAAGCAGAAACTGGGAATAAGAAGAAACAATTCTTCTGGAAGGTTATATTGAGAATATATATTTGGACTACAAAGCCATCGTAGTTCCTTTCAAACTGTAATATTCTAACACAGCTGACTACCAGAATAAATATTGAGAAAACTGCTTAATTGTGCCTAGGTTTCTGAAGACAGAAGTGTATTTTCTAAGCCTGTATTCCATTTGGCCCTTTGGCATCTGCACCACCAGTGATATAAAATTCTGAAGCAATAACTTGAATATCAGCTTTTATCTTACTAAATTACAAGGTCAGCCAATCAGCATTTTTTTCACTAGGTTGCCATCCTCCTAATAATCCTCTTGCAAAACATTCTCATGAAAGACTTCAAATGACACAGTAGAGATGTTTTATACAGCATATTTTATAAAATCAAACTCTGAGCAAAATTGTGTACAGAAAATAATTGTCATGCTTTTCAAAATATGGTTTTAACATTATATCACAGAAAAGCACACTTAGAATCCAAGAAAAAAAACCCAAGGATATAATTCTCAGTTCTGACTGAGATTCTTCTTGAGTAACCTTAGTTTAACCTGTTACACATTATTGATTTTTTTCTAAATGGAAAGGTAGTGATCTCTTTATTACCTATATTTATGTTAGCAAAAATGTTTTTGCAATCTTCCAGAACAAGTGTAGGGAGAAAATCCTAGCTTTGCCCATCTTAATTTTTTCTCCCAGTTGTTTTTCTGAGAATTTTTGATGAACAGATTCTGACAGTACTTTCTGGAATTCCATTTAAAAGTTTTGCATCAGCAGAATGCAGTAAATTTTCATGAGCATGTTCATCAAATATATATGGCTGCTTAGTTGGTCAGCAATATTCAGCCTACATTGTAAATAAAAGAAACAGTCGTGGCATAGCTGGCATGAAGTACTCTAATTAAAAGCTGTGACCAGTAATTATGTGTATGACAAAATAAATGGCTGAGAAGCACCTTTTAACTTACCCAGCCAAGTGCTGCACTGGCATGTTACTCAGCAGCTGTAACTGCTTCCCTCTACCCTTCTTACTCCTAGCATATTTTTCTTAAGGTAGATAAACATAGTTTCAAAAATGGGCTATGCAACTTAGGTACTGGGTTGGGTTGACCTTGACTAGCTGCCAGAAACTCATCCAAGACAGTCTGCCAGTCTCCTTTCTCAAGAGAATGAAGAAGGAAAACAAAATGAAAAAGTTCATGGGTCAAGAAAATTACCTAGTACAGTCAAGGCCAGAAGCGGCTAGGCATAGGGAGGATAAATTTAATTTATTGCTAAGTAAAATAGATTTGGATAGTGAGAACCAAAAAGAACTTGCAACATCTTCCTCCCTCCCCATTTTCCCAGGCTCCAACTCACTCCTTCATTCCTGCTCCTCTACTTCCCACGCTAAGGTAGCATAGTTGGGATGGGGAATGGGAGTCTGTGGACAGTCCACAATGGTTCCTCTCTGCTGCTCCTTTCTCCTTGCACTTTTTCAGCTGGATTCATCTTGGTCTGCAGGGAAGTCCCTGTTCCAGTGTCTGGAGCACCTCCTCACCCTCCTCTCACCTCAGTGTCTGCAGGGCTGTTTGCCTCATGGGGGCTTTTCTCATTCATCACCCTCACCGCTGCTGTGCTGTGTTTTACACTTTCTTTAATACTCTTCCCAGAGGTGCCACTGTGTTGGCTGAGCAGCAAGCTATGCCCAGCAGAGGCTGCATTGGAACCGCAGTCCAGAATGGTTCCTCTCTGCTGCTCCTTTCTCCTTGCACTTTTTCAGCTGGATTCATCTTGGTCTGCAGAGAAGTCCCTGTTCCAGTGTCTGGAGCACTTCCTCACCCTCCTCTCACTTCAGTGTCTGCAGGGCAGTTTGCCTCATGGCGGCTTTTCTCATTCATCACCCACACTGCTGCTGTGCTGTGTTTTGCCCTTTCTTTAATACTCTTCCCAGAGGTGCCTCTGTGTTGGCTGAGCAGTAAGCTACGCCCAGCAGGGACTGCATTGGAGCCAGCTGGAACCACATGGAACTGTCTGGGATGGGCTCTGTGCAGTTTGGGGCAACTTCTTCTCACAGGAATCACCCCTACAACCATCCTGCCGCCAACACTTTAACACTATTACCCTGGAGACACACAAAAGTCTCAGTAAACTGTCCTCTGTCCAAAAAGACATGATGTTTCAAGCTTAATAAATACCTTTACTAGAGGGAAAGGCTAATTTTTAAAGAAGAGACATTGGGAAAATACTAGGGGAAAAAAAAAAAAGAAATGTCAATTTTACGTATCAAAAGCTACATCATCGCCCTACAACCATCCTGCCGCCAACACTTTAACACTATTACCCTGGAGACACACAAAAGTCTCAGTAAACTGTCCTCTCTGTCCAAAAAGACATGATGTTTCAAGCTTAATAAATACCTTTACTAGAGGGAAAGGCTAATTTTTAAAGAAGAGACATTGGGAAAATACTAGGGGAAGAAAAAAAGAAATGTCAATTTTACATATCAAAAGCTACATCATCATAGGAGGCACAAGTGAATCTAAATAAGGATTCTGTTTTGGCATATTTAAAGTTTATTAAACCTATGATTTCTTGAAAAAGTCAGACTTTATCCTCCTCTCTCTCTACTCAGTTTAAATGTTAATTTGATAAATATCAGTCTTCAGCACTAGCTATAGGAGAGTGCCATGATGAGTAATCTCACATTTCGTCTAGCATTTTATTTATCATTCAGGTGAGTTTAATTAATGCCAAATGACAATTTCAGTGGAAAAATAACATGTGTGATTATTTCTAAGTTGGGAAGTGCTTGAAGTATCATAGTAAATCTTGTTCCTCTCTAGTATTCTCAAAATCTGTTACATGTTTTCTCTCCCTCTTTTGGATTTGTGATTTTATTGGAGATTTTTCTCTGCCCCAAATGTGTACTTAAATTAGAGAGGACACTCTTTGGGCCACAGAAACAAAACTCACTCTTTAAGAGACTTCACTCTTTTTTTTTTCTTTGCTGCAGTGTACAGAATGTTCCCAAAGTGAACTGAAAGTTCATGTTTGTGTGGCTGCAAAGAGTACACTAACCACACTGAGCCAGCACATCTATTTCATACCCAACTGATAATTTACTAAATTTTTGTACCTTGATTACATTTAATTTAGTACCATTAGTGTAAAACGAGAATCAGTTCTGATGGGTCTATTTATTCTTCACCTTATGAAGTAGATTCAGGTAAACCCATGCCATAAGCAATAAAAAGTTTCTCTAGTTCTAAGTAGATTAGACAAATACTGTAGTTTTACATCCTGTTATGAATTTTTCTAAACTCTCCTAATTTCCAAAACTTGAGAATTATGTCTCAAATGGCTTCAACAAGGATATACAACTCAGCAACATGTTTCTGCTGTGCTGCTTTCTTTGGTAATGGTATGGTATTTTGCAGTGAGTTGATGGGGCAGAGCAAGAAGATCGTGGGAGCTTATCTGATCTTTTCCTTTGAGATTCTTCTGCAAGAATTAGAAAGAGTCAATCCTTAATATTAATTCAAAATGGGCAATCACTCTTGTCATTCTGTCTCTTGTTAAAGGAGCTTTTCTTGAGAACAGTCATTAACAGGTCAGAAGATTTTAAATTGCCCCCTGAAATCTGTATTACATCATTAGAAGAGCTTTCAGTAATTTGGGATTACTGTGGTAAAAAAATTCTCTACCTGTCCATCATAAAAAGCTTTGCAGTAAAGTTGTACAGCTGTATTTTGCAAATGTACAAGTAGGGAAAGTATTCAAGAATACTTCAATCAGAAGCCTTTAAATAATAAATGTCAAAATTCCATTTCTTTTATTAATAGTTTATGTAGATTTTTGTATTTAAAGATTATGTTTATTTAGTTTTGGTCTGCTGCATGACTTTGCTAACTCCCACACTTATGCAAATTTTATCCATGGGATGCAAAATATAGCTTTCATGCATATGTTACCCATTGTTCCCAATCTACTTTTGTATTAAATGCATTTGCTAAACAATAGGACAAGCTTTAGAGTAATGATGTTGATCAAGTAACAATTTCAAGTACAAAATGAAATGTGACACTTTATAATGGTCTTTGATTTGAAATATGTCCAAGTTGGCATTGCATTTACTTTCATAATGACTTTTTTTAATAAAATCAACTCAAGGCTGAAGTTTGTAGAGGGGGAAGTTCCATTTTTAAGTAAAATATAAAAACCTGATAAGTTTTTTAACTATGGGAAAATAACATAAAATGATTTTACAAAAAGCAAAATGAGTCCTTCACAAAAGGCCACTATTATGAGGACACATTGTTTATCCATCTATAAA